AATCCAATTAATAAAGTGGGTTAGGGACTTGAACAGACTCTTCTCCATAGAAGATATATAAATAGCCACTAAAATGAAAAGATATGCAATAGCACTACTTATTAGAGAAACGCAAATAAAAACTACTATAAAATATCACCTCACTGTGAAGTGTGTAAATCTGGTTATTCAGAGACCTGTACCCTTGGGGTTAATGATACATTATGTGTTTATTTAAAAAAAAATCATTAAAAAAAATATCACCTCATACCTGTTAGGATGCTACTATTTAAAAAAACAAAAACAAAAAAAAACAAGTGTTGATGAGGATGTAGAAAAATCAGAACCCTTGTGTGCTGTTGATGGGAATGTAAAATGATACAGCCACTGTGGAAAACAGTACAGCAATTCCTCAAAAGAAAAAAATACATATGATCCAGCAATTCCACTTCTGAGTATACTGAAAAGAATTGAAAGCAGAGACTAAAGGAGATGTTTGTATGCCCATTTTCATAGCAGCATTATTCACAATAGCTGAGACATGGAAGTAAATCAAGTAACCATCTATAGATGAAAGAATAGGCAAAATGTAGTATACACAAACAATGGAATATTATTCAGCGTTGAAAAGAAAGGAAATTCTGCAGTATGCCACAACATGGATAAGCCTTGAATACATTATGCTAAATGAGTTAAATCAGTTACCAAAAATCCATACCATATGATTCCCCTTATACGAGGTACTTAGATTAGTCAAAAACATAATGGAGATAGTAGTGGTTGTCAGGGGCTGAGGGGAAGAGAAGAATGTGGGGTTGTTTAAGTTTTACAAGATGAAAAAATTGGGATGGATGATATTGATGGTCACACAATAATGTGAATGTATTTAATACCACTGAACTGTATGCTTAAAAGTGGTTTTGATGGTAAATTTTATGTGTATTTTGCCACAATAAAAAAGAAAGAAAAATGTGTATATAAGGGTATGTGTTTTTCCTTTTACCTCAAGTTCCAGTATGGCTTGACATAGCACTGATTTCAGCATAGTTACATCAAAGTTTCTGAGATCTTATGATTTCTTTTCCTTTACTATATCTTATTTTATTTTTATGGAGTTAAACTGACTCATTTGTTTAGTTTTTATAACACTTAATGCTGTTTTTTAAAAAATGTTGCGATTTGTCTAATGTTTGGAAATATTTTTTCCAAATGTTCACACACACAAAAAATTGTTAGAAAGTCTGAATCTCTCCTCTCATATCTCCTTCAGTTTAAACTAGTTGTTCTCTAAGCCTGTTGCATAGTTTGTTGTATCAGGATTTTCCTCTGCTACTATCTTGTGTTGGATATCCTATTTTCTAAACTAGGAGTTCTCTTTTGCTTGGTTTATTTCCTATTTTAATGAAACATGTTCTCTAACAACTCCCTCAGAAGGGGTGCATCTTTTCTGACTCATTGTGTATTTTAAACTATATTTACTTAAAGATAGTTTGGCTGAAGTACATAGAAATAATTTTTCCTGTGCAGTTTTGAAAGTATTTAATAAGTCTGATATCATTCTTGTTCCAGTTTCTTTGCATTTTGGTTATTTTTTTCTTCTGGCAACCTTAGTGATTATCTCTGTCTCTGGTATCAACCTTAGTGATTATCTCTGTCTTTGTCTCTTGAAATTTCATGATGATATGTTCACCAGTCATCCTTTTTCCATTCATTATGATAGACATTTAATAAGCCTTTGTAATTTGGGTATATATGTTTGGGGCAAGTTTTCTTGTATTATTTCTTTGGCAAATTTTTACTTTTCTTTGTTCATTTTCTCTCTCTTTCTCCTCTCCTATTGATGTGGCACTGTATTTCCTGCATTAACTACTCTAGTTGTATGGTATCATTTTTCTTGCCTTCCTACTTTTTGTCTTTTTCATTCAATCTTTAAAAAAAATTTCTAAACTTAATTTCTTATTTTAATTGTCATATATTTAATTTTGAAGAGCTCTTTAATATTTTTATTCTTCCATTTTTCTCTTCATAATCTTTGTAATTGTTTAATGGATATAATAACATCTTATGCTTCTTTGGGGGTATTAAATGTTTATTATATATTTTTTCTTTTTGTCCCCAGCAATGTCTCTGATGTCTCCTAGTTCCTTTCTTTATTCCTATCATTTTGATATTTCTGATGTTAAAGGATGTCTTCAGGGGTGCTAGAGTGGCTCAGTCAGTTAAGCATCTGACTCTTAGTTTTAGCTCTGGTCATGATCTTATGGTCATAAGATCAAGCCCCGCATCAGGCTCTGCACTCAGAATCTGCTCCAGATTCTCTCTCCCTCTCGCTTCAGCTCACATTCTCTCTCTTTCTCACTCTCAAATAAATAAAACCTTTAAAAAAGGTTGTCTAAATAAATAAAGGATGTCTTCAATGGTATGGTGATCCTTGGCTGCCCATATACTAGAGAGTAAATCATGACCGAGTTCTTTGAATACTTGCTGAATGGGGACAGGGCTTTCTTATATAGTCATAGAGGTTGTGCACTGCAGAACTCCAAAGGGTACTATATATATATACTCTCAAAAAGTATTAGATTTACCATATTAGAAATTAAAAATGTGATATCTAAAAAAAATTGTAACTTAAAAATCAAACTAACAAACCTACCAAATAGTTACATAAATAACATATTTTTCTGAGAAATAACTATATTCCAAAAAACAAGAAACTTAGAACACTGATACCGTTTTGTACTTTTGCGTATCTTTGTGATGTCTAGTTAAGTAGAAGAAAACTGGATTCACATGTTTCTGCGTTCAGTCTGTTGTGATATGTTGTTATTGTGGTCAAAATATATGAAGAATATCCAGCCTTACATGGTACTTCAACAATCTTTTCAAATAATTGTGATTTTTTTGTTTTTGGATACTACATCAAAAATAGACAAGTTGAAGATTTCTTAAAGGTTTTTTGCAATGTAGAATCTCATTCCATATCACTGAACTTTTTAAGCTTTGATACATTCAAATCTGTTGGTCTGTATGGATCTTTTATTCATGCATGATTTTATAACATCATCAGTCATTTGGAAAATACTGGTTCGCTGAGTTACATAGATCTTGCAAGTGTTGACATCTTTTATGTATCATACCAAGTCATTGATATTAGCATAAATCTAATCAATGGTGAATACAAGTTTTCCTAAAATTTACCATGTGTTTGAATTTTATTACTGACAAAAAGCACTGTCGGTTGTTTTCTTTGATGTGATAGGCTTGCTTTGTCAATTTTCAAGAAAATATTTCCTAAAAAAGTAAGTCTAAATATTCATAGTTTGACATTCAACCTTTAAAATAAAAACAATGTTCTGTGAAATAATTGTGCCAAAGTTCAGCTTGCAACTCAGTCATAGACAATTGCAGGGCTTTATGCATACTTCCTTTTTTATCACACAGAAAATTCAAAAGACATGAACTTAAAGATTGATATTTAATAAAGTGAATTTTACTGCTGGTGTTTGCTAGTGAAGAATACAGTGATTACTAGTATAGTTTGGTTTGATGCCACTGCCTTGATTCATGGTAAGATGCCAGCATGCCAGCATATTTACCCACTACTGGTTTTGTACCAAGAGTTTTAATTTTACCGCCTCCTAAAAGTGTCTTGGAGGCCCAAGGTATCTGTGAGATACACTTGGAGAACTGCTGCCATGGATTATAATGTGATGGTTAGTTAATCCTCCTGAATTAGTGCTTTATACAATCTGCACAGTCTGTGTGGGAATTGTTTAGACTTCACCATAAGAAAATCAGATGCTGAGCTGACTCTTTGGTGAGGAAGATACTTCCAAAGTCATTATGGGAAACCTTGTCTTCCTTGAGACTGATAATTTTCTCCAAAGAAGAGTGTTCTAGATTCCAGCTGTTGGTGGTGAAGAGTGATTCTTCTAGTTGCTGGCATTCTGGGAGCCAGGCAGAGAAAGAATTGTGGGGACCTTTATTCAGTTTATGGACTTTGACTATATTTTTCTGTTTTCTCCCAGTGCCTCATGGCTTCCCTTTGCTGTTCCTGGTGTTCACAAGTCTAAATTATCTCTAGTTCAGAAAGTTAACTTTTAGCTTCTGTGGTAGAGGAAAGAATAGGTGTCTGTTGTGTGAATGAGGGAAAGAGCATTGGATTTCTCAGCAGTCCTTGTGTTTCATTTTTTTATGTACTGGTTCAGATTGCTTCAGTTCTCTGGGCAAATTTTCTTCTCATTGCACTCCCCTGCTCAGATATTTAGTTGTAACTTCCTCCATGTTGCAAAGTCAACTTCTCAGCCACATTCCATCTAAAAATTTGTTGACATCTCATTGTCAGTTAGTATACTTTAGTGTTTTCATGGTCTTTATGAATGAAAATGTTTTATGTCTTTGCCTCATTTTACCAGGGTTTTAGAAGAGTAAAAAAAAAAAATGTATGGAGTTGATACGCCATTATCAATTTCACAGTCCTTAGTCAATCACTGTACTAGTTAAGAGCTAGACCTAGATTTGGATCTTCACCATTTATTTTGGTTATTGCCTGGGGTTTTCTACTTAACCTACATAGTTGTATTTCCTACTATAGAAATGGAATTGAGAATGTCTAATATGAAGATTAAATGAGATAGTAAAGCTCTTAACATACTAACTCATGCATCATATGTGCTTAATGATTGGTAATTGTTATGAACGGTTAAGCTGGCCTCTGGCTCACTGAAGTTTTACTATGAAAGGCCGGTGTCATAACTGGATAACTGTTTCATGACCTTGATTCAGAGACTTCTAGTATACTGAAATTCTTATTGACTTTTTTAAGAGTTTTAAAAATTCTGTTTTTAATTTTGAGAATTATTATATAGTACATACTTTAGATTAATAAATGTTTTTTCTATTTCTTTCCTATATTAGGTGCACACTTAAATTCCCTTAATCCAGAAAGTTTAGGATACTTAGAGTAGTTTAATTTAAGTTTAACCATGAATATAAAAGAAACATATTCTTAATCATTTCAGGAAATTGCAAGACCTAATATGGCTGAAGGAGGAACAGAAACATCAAATTCTGAAAGGTAAATATAAGGAAAACTGAATGTCTTGAAATTAAACTACATAAAAAGCTGATATTTGAGCTGTATTATTTTAGTTGACATTTTGTTATTTTAGTTTAATTTAAAAATTTTTGAAATTTTAATACAACATAAACATACTGTAGATCCTTAATTTTGAAATATTTTAAACATCCTTTAAATATCTTATAGTTGTAAAATTTTTAACTAGTTAATCTTTTTACTAGTAAATAAAATGTTAACAGATTTTAATTGCCCCTATTAAATGAAAACAATTACAGGATCCTACAAGTTACAAAATGAGGACAATTTTTGCAAAGAGGTAATCTTAAAATCTTTTTTTGCTAAAGTATTTTCAGAAGCTTCATAAAGCTACTTCTGTGGTGGGACCTTAACAGAAAAGTTTCAAACTTCAGGGATTGGCTTTAAAAAATTTAATGCTCTGATCAACACTAAAGACCACAAGACATTTTTTCTTCTTTTCAATATTTTATTTAAATTCAGATTAGTTAACAAGTAACATAGTTAAAGTTTCAGGGGTAGAATTTAGAAATTCATCACTAGCATATGTCATCCAGTGCTATTCATAACAAGGGCTCTCCTTAATGCCTCACCTATTTCTACCTCCCTCCATCAACCCTCAGTTTTTTCCCTGTAGTTAAGAGTCTCTTATGGTTTGTCTCCCTCTCTGTTTTTATCTTATTTTAGAAGCTTTCTTAGCCTTGTCCATTTTTGCCATTCTAACTGGGTTAAGGTGGTATCTCAGTGTGGTTTTGATTTGAATTTCCTTGATGGGTAATGATGATGAACATTTTTTCATATGTCTGTTAGCCATTTGTTTGTCTTCTTTGGAGAGATGTCTTCTGCCCATTTTTTGACTTGATTATTTGTTTTTTGGGTGTTGAGTTTGAGAAGTTTAATAGATCTTGGATATCAGCCCTTTGTAGTGTCGTTTGCAAATATCTTCTCCCATTCTGTAGGTTGCCTCTTTGTTTTCTTGACTGTTTCCTTTGCTGTGCAGAAGCTTTTGATCTTGATGAAGTCCCAAAAGTTTATTTTCACTTTTGTTTCCCTTGCCTTTGGAGACGTGTCTTAAATGAAGTTGCTGTGGCTAATGTCAAAGAGGTTACTGCCTAAGTTCTCCTCTAGGATTTTGATGGATTCCTGTCTCACATTGAGGTCATTCATCCATTTTATCTTTGTGTACATGTAAGAGAATGGTCCAATTTCATTCTTCTGTATATAACTGTCCAATTTTCCCAACCCCATTTATTGAAGAGACTTTTTCCCCATTGGATATTTTTTCCTGCTTTGTCAAAGATTAGTTGACCATAGAGTTGAGGGTTCCTCTCTGGGCTGTCTATTCTGTTCCGTTGGTCTGTGTGTCTGTTTTTGTACCATGCTGTCTTGTTGATCACAGCTTTGTGATATAGCTTGTAATCCGGCAGCATGATGCCCCCAGTTTTGTTTTTCTTTTTCAACATTTCCTTGGTGATTCAGGGTCTTTTCTGGTTCCATAAAAATTTTAGAATTGTTTGTTCCAGCATTTTGAAAAATGCCATTGGTATTTTGATTGGAATGACGTTGAAAGTATAGATTGCTCTGGATAGGATAGACATTTTAACAATGCCTATTCTTCCGATCCATGAGCATGGAATGTTTTTCCATCTTTTTGTGTCTTCTTCAGTTTCTCTCCTGAGTGTTTTGTAGTTCCTAGAGTGTAGATCCTTTACCTCTTTGTTTAGGTTTATTCCAAGGTATCTTATGGATAAAGAAGATGTGGTCCATATACACAATGGAATATTATTCAGCCATCAGAAAGGATGAATACCCAACTTTTGCATCAACATGGATGGGACTGGAGGAGATTATGCTAAGTGAAATAAGTCAAACAGAGAAAATCAATTATATGGTTTCACTTATTTGTGGAACAAGGAATAGCATGGAGGACAGTAGGAAAAGGAAGGGAAAAATGAAGGGGGAAAAATCAGAGTGGGAGATGAACTATGAGAGACTTTGGACTCTGAGAAAGAAACTGAGGGTTTTAGAAGGGACAGAAGGGGATGGGTGAGCCTGGTGATGGGTATTAAGGAGGGCACGGATTGCATGGAGCACTAGGTGTTATACAGAAACAATGAATCATGGAGCACTACATCAAAAACTAATGATGTACCATATGGTGACTAACATAACATATAATAAAAAAATGAATATTTTTTTAAAAAGCTTTCTTAGCAAAAGAGTATCTAACATTCTAATTAGAACTTAATTCCAATAAAGATAATTTTACTTTGTTTTTTAAATTAATCTCCGCATGTCTGCCTTTATGTGGTGTATCTTATATATAGCTATACATCGTCAGGGGTAGGGTGCTTATTAACTGAATGAGATTGATTAATCTATTGCCCCTGAAAAGAAAATTATGGAATAAGGCCTTATGAAGTTGTCTCTTAGACTTTACTAGAAAAATGATCTAGTCCTTTCTTCACCTAGAATTTGGGGACAGGACAGTGATTAACAAAAATTCAGTGAAGGCGTTAGGAAAAGCAGACTAATCACTTCTCTATAATTTAATATTTTCTGTAAATTGTAGCTAGTCCAGTAAGATCTGAATAAAAATAATAATTATATAAATTTAAATGAGGAAAATATTGTAATTGTTTGTAGATGGTATAATTGACCTATAATATAAGATCCAAGAAAATCAGCTAAGAATAAAGTTAATGAGAGTATTAATTAAGGTAGGTTGGTATAAAAATCTGAATGTTGCAGTATGCCAATAACATGTGATTACAAAATATAATGGACAAAGGAGTTAATTCACAATAACAAAAATGAGAAATGTACAGGATCTAAATGAAGAAAAATGAAAACTTACTGTGACAGAAAATAACTAATTATTAACTAATGCATGATAGGCCATTTTCCCAAATTAATTTATAGGTTTAGTAATGAATATTTAGTTAAAAAATCCTAATGGGATTTGGTTTGGAAACCAGTGGTGTTTAAAGGAAGTTTCATATTTTTCTATTTACTACCATAATTTATTAAATCATTGCTCTCTTGTTAGATATTTGTTTTTTTCTGTATTCACTTTTTTTTTTTTTTTTTTTTAAGATTTTGTTCATTGAGAGAGCAAGCAAGAGAACTGTCGCAAGCCAGGGAGAGTGGCAGGCAGAGGGAGAGACAGATTCCTGGCTGAGCAGGGAGCCAGACCTGGGGCATGATCCCAGGACCTCGGGATCATGACCTGAGCCCAAGGCAGACACTCAGTCAACTGAGCCACTCAGGCACCCCTCTGTATTTGCTATTTAAACATTGTTTTTATGAGCATTCTTGTACAAATGTCTTTTACATGTTTACACTGTTAAACTTAGGGAAAAAAGTAGTGGATAGTAGATGATTTGCTGTATTAAATAATAAAATATATTGTTAATCTGTAATTGGTAAGACTAGGTGGTATTCGCCCAAGAACAGTCCAAAGACAGATCAAAACAAAATAAATAGCAGATTTATTTAACTTATATAAATGTAAGTTAGTAAGTAATAAATGACCATTTGATAATGTTGCTTTGATATTTTGTCCATTCACTCAGAAAAAGTACAAATTCCAGGTGGATTAATAGAAGAAATAAGATATCTGTAATCATTAAATTTATTTTGGGTAAAATATGTATTGTAACATCTAGATAAGGAGCTGAAGATTCTCTTTAAAGTCTTCTGTTTCTAATGTTTTATGATGCACTATATACTTTCTGTTAACATGCTGGGACAGTAGGGAACACACAGACACACTCATATACACAAAAATATTTATGTATACACGTATTTATGTATGCATATTGTATATTTAGATATATTTTTTCAGGCATGTGTTTATATTTTTTAAGTAAAACTTAAAAATTAGAGAAATTTTTTATGAATACAGATTTGATCTTGCATAGGGAAAGACATTTTAAGATGATATATAAATCACTCAAAAAATGTTTTTTTCTCATGGGGCGCCTGTGTGGCTCAGTGGGTTGAAGCCTCTGCCTTCGGCTCACATCATGATCCTGGGGTCCTGGGATCGAGCCCTACATCAGGCTCTCTGCACAACGGGGAGCCTGCTTCTTCCTCTCTCTCTGCCTGCCTCTCTGCCTGGTTGTGATCTCTGTCTGTCAAATAAATAAATAAAATCTTCTAAAAAAAATGTTTTTTTTCTCAAATATATTCACTTCTTATTTAAAGTACTCATATAAACTAATAAAAATGCTTAAATTTCAACTAAAGACAAGCAATGGTGTGAATAGATAAAAGTAATGATTACCAGGACTAAAACCAGTTTTGATAGATTCCCCCGTCTCCTTTTAACATGTGGCTCTGGAGTTTCTCACTCTCTTGCCTAAGAAAATGGCCACTCCTAAATCCTAAATTCTAACATGGCAAGGACTTGGGACTTGCATTATTCTTTTCCTTTTTGGCAAATGTACCTAGACCTTTTTTTTTTTTTTTTAAGAGCATGTCTTTATTTTGATAGTGTTCAGATACATTGTGTTCTGAAAAAATACATAATAAATGGCTTTATTTTTTCAGTAAACAAGATAAAGCTTCAGAGGAAGAAAAAAATGGATGTGATACAAATTCATTTGAAGGCTCATTAGCAACAAAAAGTGAAGAAAGCAAAACAGTTTCAAATAAGGAAAATGATACCTGTCTTGGAGACCAAAAGACTGGGTTAAAGAATATCTTCAGTCATGATTCAAATATTGATGCAGATAAAGTAGAAAAGGAAAACCAAATAGAGCACATTTGTCAGAAAACAGAGTTGAAGATTTGTCAAAGTTCAGGAACCATAAATTCATGTGATCAGATTGAAGATTCCAACTCCAGTGAAGCTAGGTTTTCTTCGAAGAATATTAAGGATTTGCGGTTAACATCTGGTGATGTTAGCATTGACCAGTTTTTGAGAAAAAGAGATGAACCTGAATCTGTTAGTTCTGATGTTAGTGAGCAAGGCAGTATTCATTTAGAACCTTTGACTCCATCAGAGGTACTTGAGTATGAAGCCACAGAGATTCTTCAGAAAGGTAGTGGTGATCCTTCAGCCAAGACTGATGAAGTAGAGTCTGATCAAGCTGACAGTGTTCCTGGAGAAAATAGCCCTAGCACGACAGAGACAACAGTAGACCTGGCAGATGAAAAAGAAAGAAGTTGAAATTTATTAGTTATTCTAAGTTTAGTGTACCAACGGTAAGAACATTTGGAACAGTGCTATCAGGTGAGCTCAGTGGTGCTGTTTTGGAGTTCAGAAAGAGAAAAATGTGAAGGAAGTCATTTGTATACACTTTACCTGTATGTTCAACCCAGATTCTTAAATCAATTCACTGATAATAGCATGATTTCTATGGATTTCCAGGAAGCCTTTAACACATAACAGGATTTTAGTGAAAGTTACGTTTGCAATGGAAAATTCTCATTTAACAGTTTGTGAGAAGAACTTTGTGGCCAGTATGAATTGATTATTGGAATATTAATTATAATAATAAAGCTTTTGAAACTTAAAACAGTCCTAAGCTAAAAGTTCTTATTATCTATGTATCCTTTTCAGTTAACTTAAAGGAAGAGATTTGGAAACCACATACTATTGGGGAATAATTGATTAAAAATAATGGCTGATAGGCATTGTTAATGAAGGCTTCATTTTAAGTATGATGCTGGCAAATGGAGCATGCTTAGAGTGCTAAATTAATTGATCTAATGAGAATTTGGATGAACATAAAATCAATTTTGGATTTAATATAACATTCCAGACTGTCAGAAGCATGTAAACAGAATATTTGAATCTGTGTACCTCCATACAAGTGTTAGCCTGCCAGGCTGTAAGCTTACCTTAAACTTTCAGTGAAAGTGAAATTATTAAGATATAAATTTATATTTGTGCTTTTTGTCAATGTGTAAGCTGTGCAGAAATCCTTGATGTGCTAGTTGTATAAAATAGAAACCCGTTGTTCAAACTCCTGTAGCTGTTATGCTTTTAATATTGTTTTAATGATCTTTAGAAATAGACCCATAAAATGGTCTGGAAGCCAAACCAAAGTATGGTATAATGTAGATATTGTAAAACAGTAAACTGAAAACATGTCCTGGCTCATGCCATGTTTAAGTGACTTTTTCTTTAATTGTAAAATAGAAACTTCAAATGGGACCTAAAGCAGTGATGTAAAAACTTGGTTTGGGATATTTAGCCTAATTTATCCGTATCCTATTTTATCCATAAAATGGCTGCTAAATTGTTTTTTCAGTTTTTTTTTATCATCTAGAAAATAATAGATATAGAAATAAATAATATGAATAACAGTAGTTTGCTTTAAAGTACTAAAAAAATTTTATTTAAAATGCTACATTTTTACTTCTTAAAATGTGCTTTGAATTCTTAAATTTTGTTTCACTGAATGTTAAATGTTTTAAACGGCTATTAAAATTCTGCTGTATATAGTAGTTTTTGAGTAAATATTTGCAATAAAAATCTGTCCCTGAATAATTTTATTTTTCAGAAAACTGCTTGAGTCGGATTACCTTTGGCGCCTTTAGAAATTGTATACTTGTTCAAGGAAATTTCATGTTAAATTTAGCGGTAGGATTTCATTCTGTATTCTTTAATTGATGCATGATTTATTTTAAATTAGGACTTAAGTGCAGGGGATAATACTGTTAATGTTTGCAGAGAATAGATTTACTTTAAAAATTCTTTTACTTCAAGAGAAATATAATTTACTATTATAGTTTTCTATCTGTTCAGCAAATTAAAGAAGCTAAATAAGCAAAATATATTATTGACTTAGTTTCTTGAAAAGTTGTTCTTGGAGGGCCAAATATTTTCATCTTTCCTGCTACTAAGAAAAGATAGGGAGAGAGGGATGTTAGCGGTTACATTTCATCTTGTTGAAACATAGATCTATAGCAGACAAGATTTTTGGAGTAATTTAAAACGTAGGAAGAGCAAAGAATAGAAGGAAGGCTTATGTAAAGGCCATTTTCTGGATCCTGTTTAATTAGTTACCAAACTTATCACCTAACGCTACAAAACTCTAGATCACTGTGCCAAGATAAGTCTCTAAGTGACACTGTTATCCCTTTGAGCTTTGGGTAGTTCCTTCTGCTGTGGCTCTATGTACTTTTAGAGTAGTGGTATTCAAAGTAGCTAATCAATGAGCTGTTTTTACCTATCCACTATGAGAAAAGGAACCTGTACAAGACTGTAAGTCCTTAATTGAGAAAGTCTGGCAATGAAAACAAAAGTGTAGTTGAAATAACCATTGTACTTGGTTAACATAATTGGTTTATGTTCTCACACCATCTCATCTCATTTCGATTCAGGAACAAACAGTTCTGGTGTGCAAATCAAACCTTTGAGTAGCAATGCTTTAGTTCATTGGTCAGCAAACTTCTGTGTAGGGCCAGATAATAAATAATTGTGGGCCACAATTATTCAACTCTTCCTTGTAGTTTGAAAGCAGCCATAGATGCAATGTGAATGATAGTCTGCTTGTGTTCCAATAAAACTTTATTTACAAAACAAGAATGGCCAATGGATTGTGGTTTGCCTGTGCCTGCTTTGGAGTGCTTAGACTACCTTAATATGACAGTGAGAGCCAATGATGCACTCTAGTGACTGCCTCAGAACTACCTACTAAGTAAGGTGCCTTAGTGTATTATAGTTCCCTGTTACCTAACAATAAAATCAGGGTTGATTCTAAGTGCAGTTCAATGACACTATGAAGCATTATATTCATTTTGTGGGGTATACTTTTAATTTACACTGAAACTCTGAATGCCATCTCTATTTGTGTTATTTCTTCCCCTTTGCTTCTCTCCAGTGTTTTAGGGAGGAAATTGGATTTTTTTCATCCCATAACAATTTTTAAGAACTATCTAAACATTTTAAAAAGGAACTGACAAGATACAAGTCACCTTGTTTTAGCTATAAGTAAAAAAGATAAGGAAAGAAAATATCTAAGCAATTATTTGCTTAAGGTTACAGAGCTAAGATTTAAATGAAATTTGATCTGATTCTGAAATTAGTGTTTTCTCCCATATCTATAGTTATATTGAATGTCTGTTTTTAAAATAAATTACCTTTTTGCAAATAACCCTCCCATTGATGGTACTAATTGTAGTTTTATTTACTCAACAGTGATTATATGCATTTGGAATGGAGGACTTATTAACCTAAAGAAAAGGACCTAATGATCTCTTTTATTAATAGGATTTAAGGAATTTTACCTCAGGAGGAAAGAGTTATTAATATATTATTAATATAGTAAATGAATATATTATTAATAGGAAAGATAGCAAGTAATTTAAAGATATAGTTTGTATAATAATTATAGAAGTTTTAACATCATCAAATATTTATAGATTTCTGTAATGTCATTTTTTTAGTTCATGGTTGACATGATCGTTTTTTGTTCCATCGAAATTATTATTCCAAAACCACTCACTTGTGCTGACTTCAATGAAGGAGGACTTTTGTTGTGTGTAGACACTAAAGAAGGATTGCAAATATTTCCTTTTTACTAGATTACTTTCACACTAAGACTTGTTCTTTCAGCTAAGACATGAATCATTAGACTTATATATTTCTAAGTATTAAAAGAGAGAAACAGTTATTTTTAAAATATTTTTTTAAATGAGATATGAAATGAGATTTTTTTAAAAATGAGAGACCTACAGGTCCATGTAGACAAAATGAATAGTCAAGTAGATTTTTAAAGTTATGGCAATGTTTAATTTTCAGCTCAAAAGCTATAAATAAAAAGATACTTGTCTAGAATCATCTTGTAAATAATTAAATACATCTGTAGTAACAAATGTAACATCATAGAGGGATAAGGTATCGTGAGAAATTACTTTTACAGATAAGTAAAGGTAACTTTTGATTGCTTTTTAAAAGTATTATTAAATCACTTTCATTATTTAAAATAATATACTAAAAATAAGTCAGTCTTCTTTGATGACATACTGTGTGATGAATGATGACACACTTCATCATTATGAAGATTATCAAACTAAGCTATAAATGAAGCCATAGCTACAATGTTAATGGCCTGAATAATTGCAGGTCACAGAAGTTACCTTGGATTTTGGTTTCCAGAAAATACCCCAAGTACATCTGGGGCCATTTGGCTTTTCTGAAAACAGAACAGAAAAATTGACTGCATTACTCACCCAATCCAACCACTTTTTAAAAATGAATCTCCCCCACCCCAGATATTAAAGTAAAACTTGCCATTTGTGGAGAACTTGGGAGAATTTAAACTAATAGTTTTAAATTTTTTAAATATTTCCAGTCCTCACCCGCTGCCTTAAAAACATGACATTAATTGTTCTGTTCAGGGGCTAGCAAACTCTGACCCACAGTTGGTCACCTGCTTTTATAAATAAAATTGTATTAGAATACAATCATATCATTTGTTTACATATTGTCTGTTGTAGCTTTTGCACTGAAACTGCACAGTTGTATAGAACAGAAACCATATAGCTCCTAAGCCTAAAGCTTAAACCTGGCACTTTAAGAAAAAGTTTGCCAGCACCTGCCCTATATTTTTGTATAGATATATCATTATTTTATAACCATTCTCTAATTTTTGCTATTATAAACATGACAGAGAAGCTCTTAGTTCATAGATTTTGTTGTTATTACCTAGAATTCTAAGTGCAGTATTCGATTGAAGAGTATTCGGTTTATACATTGAAAAATACTAATACTTAACTTCAGTTATCTCCCCAAAATGGTTATGGGCGCCCTCTTGTTCCAGCATGAACTTTGAGTTAGGAGTTTATTTACCTCGATTTTTTTTCTTCGACTCCTCAAACAAAGTTTGTTTGTTTTTTTTTTTAACCTAGTGTGATTTTCATTTGTGCTCTTCACCAAATATTTCTAGTATGTGGTCATATGATGATTCCCTGGCCAACGAGCTGTAAGTGAAAAGTAACTTCTGACTTGGATCACTTAAATATTGATGTGAGACTCTTTAAAATCGTCTTTTCTCTCTGACATGGTGGTAATGATTACTACATCAGTCAGTGCTCCTGAGGGACTGTGAACAGAGAGTCCCTGTTTATTTAGATGGACATGCAGCATAAGGAAGAAAGAAGCATTTTTATTTGAAGTTAAGGCAGTTTATTTCAAGTTAGTTAATCCATCTGATAGAGGATTAGCCCTGAAAGTGGAGTGCTGCCATAAAAAGAAACAAAACTGTACTAAATTAAACTATATTGCATTGGTTTAGATGACAGATGGTTAAGTTACATGAGGTGATCCCCATTCAGCTGTGGTGGAAGATGTGGTAAACTTGCCTACAATATTTGGAAGAAAAATAATACAGTGAAGTTGTATCTCTATTGGAAGGGTATGTATAACAATTTTATTTACTATATTAGTTAGCATTTGATAAGATATTTTAAGAAAGAAGTGAACCCAGATGTGAAATGGTAAGATTGCCAGTGGAACTAGAGAATAGGGAAAGTTCAGAAATTCAGATACTTGAAGGGTTGGAAGAGAGAAAACTTCTTATCCCCAACCAGAAAAAGGAGAAAACCTTTAAGCAACAAAGCTTAACTAAATCAAGAATATGGCCATCATACTAATTGTTCAAACTACTAATTTGGTTAAGAAGAGGCCGCCTGATAGTGTTTCTATGCAGGCATTCTTCATAGCATTTCTTGGGAAATTTATGTATTTTTCTGAATCTCATGACAAGTCAGTTAAAAAATTGATGAAATAGGAGAAAGTATTGCAACTAAGCAAGAATTAAAGCTTAGTAATGAATTTAGAGACATTACTGGATTGAAGGAATTCACTGAAATCAAGCCCAAAAGCCCAAAAGCAAGAGTCCAAGAGACCAAGTTCCTGGTCAACATTTCCAGGAATCAGAACAGGAGGATGTAGAAGAGAAGTGGTCACCGTCTGATTACACAATCTTGCTTGTAGCTATTGCCATGTTACAAATACATGTTATGTTCCTGTCTGCTACTAATGGTGAGTCATTCTTGTAAATAAAATAAATATTAATAGGATTATATATGTAGTATACTTTATGCAAATCCCATCAATGGTGTTCCAAGAAGTACCATGTGGAAGCAAATTAATTCCTTAAATTGGCAGTTTTGACTTCTGAATCTGTATGGTGCTATTACCCTTGAGGGGACATCCAAATGTAACATTCAAATATACCAAGTAAGTTTGTTGGCATTTCCTAGTTTGTATGATTATTTGCCAAAGGCTGCTGTTCTTTGCAAATACTTTAACTAGAAATGCTAAGAAAAGAAGTAATGTTTGGGAACATGCTGAAATGAAATCAGAAATTGATCTAAACTCTAAATTAGCAAAAGCAGTATCATGTTCAACAGCAAGACCATAACCAGGGAATGCAGACAAAATATTTTCATTATCAAAAAGGGAAAAAAGCTTTTATAAATCAACATGTAACCTAAAACCAACTTGCAAATGTTTTTGGATAATCCTTAGCAACTCAACTA